TGCCTACAGATATATATATATATATATATATATATATATATAAAGGATAAATCGATAAAGCATATAATTCAATAAGCTGCATGCGTATTTATTACTGCTAACAATGGCCGCCATGATAGAAAAAAACTCATCAGGTTGCAGTACAGTGGATTATTGTGTCTGCAGTTTCCTCGCCTTTCGTTGCCACCTCTCTTCTTGTATCCATCAACTCCAAGGCAAAATATAAAAGGATAAGACAACTATACTGTTAATGTGTTCTGTGTTATCCCTCCTTGTACTTTTTTTTGCGCACTTTAATGGCTCATGGCTTACCTCTGGGCAGCTGATCTCCGGAAATTCCCAACCTTGTTTCGGCTTTGATTGACGCCGGAAAACACCTTTAAGCTTTTTGCCCATAGCTGCAGCTGCTGACTTCAACTTAGCAGCGGACAAAGTATAGTGATGATGATGACGACGATGATGATGATGAGCCTCTGCTCCTTGTGAGGTATGCGGTTCTTCTTGTCCTTCTCGTGAGATCTGTGGTTCTTCCCATCCTTTGTGTGAGGGATGCGGTTGTCTTGCTTGTGCGGCATGTGTTTCCTCTGGTTCTGCTTCAGTTGTTTGTGGCGTAGGCTCTTCTGCTTGTGATGCTTGTGAGGGATGCTCTTCTGCTTGTGATGCGTCAGAGGGATAATGTTCTGCTGGTGCTCCTTGTCCTGCTTCCTCCCCTTCCTTAGTGTCCTCCTGTCCTTCATCCCCTGCAGCAGTAGATCCTCTGCTCGTTTCTGGTGCGGGGGTTTCCTCAGGTGCGCCAGTGGCTGATTCTTGTGGAGGCTCTTCAGAAGTGGTCTCGACTTCCCATACTGCCCATCCTGGCCCAGGCTTGTTGCTAACTGACGGCTTACGAGGGGTAGGGGATTGTGCAGGTCTTGGTGGTGCTTCATCCTCCGATCCTCCTGTTAGAGAACTTCCCCGCCTCAACGACGGAAACTTCGCAGTCAATAATGAGAGGCGCTGAAGACGCCGTTCAAGTGAATCCCCTGACTGGAATGGATAATTATCCCAGACACTCTGTCTTCGACTATCACCTCCTGGCAACCAACTCCACCTACCTGTTGCTGATGATGATGAACTGCTGGGTTGCCTACTTCCCGATGTCTCTTCATGCTGCCACTCCACCATCCCCCCCGGACGACGGGCTCCTCCCTCTTCCTCTGAGTCTCCCCGTCTGCCACCCCCGTACAGCTCCTCTCCCCATGTCTGCCCCATCCAGCTTTCTTCATTATCTGAACCTTCGGGTGGTTTTACAAGTGATGTTCTCTGTTGTTTTCCGGAGTCCCAAGAACTCTCATAGGGCGGTGGAGGCTCCTCCGTGTCGTCGCCATAGGTGGGTTCTGGTGCACCAACCCCTGAAAAAACATCGGAAGGCCCTGGGAGGTCTACGCTTGGACGATGGCTTGGGGGGCTCTCATCGTCACTTGCCCCCAAGACTTCGATCAGTGGAGATGGTGGCTCAGGAAACTCAGGCTCCGGGTGCTCTTGTGCAGGCCCTTCCGAAACGTCGTCATGTGTCTGATCTTGATCTGGTGTACAGGAAGGTGCCTACAGAGCAGAGCAACGCAATCGATACCCAGTTCAAAGGTCACCGAGCGATGCACAGGTCACCGAGCACGCTGATAACGGGCAGGGGGCGGCTTGAGAAGAACCCCAGTTAAGGATAATTAGCAGAGATCGTTGGAAGAAAGTCCCGTGTGATCGAAGTATATTCAAGGGGTTTGCTGGTATCCGCTCAGTATGTCGAGAGATGACGACGGAGACAAGACAGAGCAACCAAAAACACGTACCTGTCCCGCAAGCCTTCTTGCTGTACCTCTCTGTTCCCTCGTGCTTTTAAGCTGCAGCGCGCATTGAAAAATAAGAAAAATGAATATAGAGGAAACCAAAGAAACAGAAATGTGCCACAAAGTCGTCTTGCGCAACCCGCGTTTGATTTTGTTGACGGGAACGTCGAACTGCTGCTTTGAGCCACCGACAGACGGCCCGACAGCTACATCATCCTGCTTATAAGGAGAGCCTTCATATCCCGCCATTGATGAATTTAATGAATCGATGCATCCAACGAATTGGCAAAGCTGATAAAAAAATCCCTTCTTGCACTGGCACGGCACTGGTTTTCAGATGGCCAACTACAGCAAGGAAGCAATCGTTCGACAGACGTGCGATTAAGCAGGAGTTCGCAGTAGCGAATAAAATTGTTCCAACGATTTTAAATTGATCGGAAAGCAGTAGATGCAACAGGAAGATATCTAACGCCGCTGCCGACCCATTGAGACGGGGCTTGCGGAGATCGCTCCATGAAGCGGCGAAACTGTCCACGCTAAACATAGAACTCGTTTGCTTTGAGGGGAGCAATTCATTGCTTTTCCATTTGCATGGGGTTCGTGAAGGATCCTTCTTAATGAAGTTCGGCTCCTCTTTTTCTTGCATAAGCAGCAAGAATGACCACTGGTCAATGGATGCACGCAGTGCAAACAATGACAGAGCGACAGAGTCCGATCGATCCCATTACCAAATGACAGCATACCAACTCTACTACGCCACTTAAGTCTTAGTGTCAGAGCACCAAACAGGACGCAAATTTGGTCACGTCCAAACTACAATTCAGTGCATTTGAAGCTACGTAGCATGAGCAATATTGGGGTGCACTTCTTCCTGGATGGGGGCTGGCTATTGTCGGCTAATCGAACTTTATATAGCTGACTGTTAGACTTCGTTATGGGGTTGTATAGAATGCTTCAAGATAACCGAACACGGCAGTTAACATCCAGGTACCACCAGCCCGCCTAATGGAGGAGATTACTAGGGAAGTTAACCGACCAGATGGGCTCCGGCGCCTACTATCGTGCCTGTTGCTACCTTCTCCACCTTCCGGTGTAAGCTGCTTTTCAATCTCGACGTCTTGGTACCGCCAAACTGGAATTTCCCCTTTAATTAGATGGAATTGTGCCAAGCTCTTGAGTCTAGTACAGGAACGCTAAACCAGAATTCTCGAGGTCACGCCGAAACACGTGTGCGCCTTAGTAGTCTACCTCTACACCCCTTGTGAACTGTTGCATGCGGCGCAACCTAGGCAAGTGCTGATTAGAAGAAAGCAAAGCAAAATCGAAAAATATCTGCTAAAGCTAAGTGATATCCACCCGGGGATAGCTGAAACCCTATGGGAATCTTGGGAAAACATCGTGCCACGGGTAGTCGTTGCAGCTTGCTCATGCATCCCGCCAGCAGTTGCTCGTTTCAGGCTATGATCGGGCTAAACGCGAATAGGCTAACTTGCACTACAGTCCAGTTACACATCCCCCCAACGTCGGGTGCAAACATTTCTAATGGTTCTTCAGTCTGTGTCGTTGAAAGATGCGACCAAGCCGCAATGTGAATCCCAGAAAATTCAAGTTGCGCACTGTGGCGCGATGAGGGCGATTTCACAGCGAAAGCTTGAACCACTTTCCTCGCAGTTGTGGAGGGATTTGGCTCAATTGGGAAAAGACGCGCAGCGCTTCATGCAATAACCAAGTTATGGCTGCAATGCTAGAGGACACCAAGCTAAACACAAACAGACCCACGAACTTGCAGCTGTCCCGAACTCCGGGAGAAAGAAGGAACACTTGGCAAAAATAAAAGCAGCCCTCTTCAAATATATGAACTACGAAAGAACACTCCGTATACTCTCGCCCGCCTATAATACTCCACATCTCTACATACAACGGGGGTGTTTCTAGCCCAAACGCTGCCAGGAATTACGAATAGATCTTAGATATCTTATCGGACCTGCCACAGAAAGCTTGCTTTCTTTGGCAAACTAGGCGCATTTTGCGCCTGACTAATCCTGTTTCAAAAAGGTTTTCTTGCCAACGTCGCCTGGCTTTGTGGAGCTGTCCACCCTCGTTTGATGCAGTGGTTCATCTCCGACAAGTTTCTGAATGGCAGCACTTCTTCTCGGCTGTCGTCTTTCTGCAGGACTGATTTTTGACGAACGAGTGCCTCCCTACAGGTAAGCAGAGATGCAGTCCAGCAAATGGTGTTTTACGTCAGATTGCGCCTTGCTTCGACCCCGTTAACTGGAAAATGCCCACGCAAGAATTGCCGATGCAATATTCCTGTGTACGCGGTACACAAGAAAGGAAACAATAATCTCAACGATTTGGAATGCAATAAAAACCATCACACGAGCGCTTTGAGTTGGGTGTATTCCAACAGGCTCGGTTTGAAGTGGGGATTTTGTTTAACAAAAGCCACCACAGTATTCGTAAAATGAATTCTTGTTTGCTGCATGCGCCTATCTCCCCAATCACAGACTCCACTGTGATTGGAGCAACGGCAGAACTGGCAACAGATGGCTGCAAATATGCTGAGGGTTGGGGTCTTTGGGTCATATAGCCTTTCCCACCGCGCTGCCACACCTCTAGATCAACGGGGAAAAGGAAGCCATATAGTGCTAGTTACTTGATGCTTGACTTAAAGCTGAAATAAGTAAGAAAGACCTGAGGAGAAGCAATTCCTCGGTAGAGCGTGCTTTGCCAGTACAAGCATCATTATCATCCGCTCATCGACATGCATGCCAGTAGGGGACACACGAACTTCATTTGAGCATATCTGTGAACCTCCGTGCGTGGTGCACGAGGTGAAGAATATGGAAGCAACAAGGGTAGTGATTATGCAGCAAGTCGTTTGTTTTGCCCAATATCCCCGTATAAAGGCAATGGGGTATAACCTCTTGCACCGTAAAGCAGGCGGTGCGCTGCTGGCAAAAAGGAGACTGTCGGCTTCTCCGATTGTCTGTTGCTTTCTACACCGCGTGAGGAGGAGCGACGAGAGGTCTAATAATTGCCGTGACCGGCCGTGAGGCGTCGAGCTGCAAAAGCCAGCGCATTTGTAAGACACACATAAGAGCTACAGCTGTGTGGTAAAAAGGTGATTCCCTCCCCTCTACGTCCAATCTTTAACTTGGGCACTGCGTCTTCTCCCCCCATATATTATCCAGTGTAATCCAGTGCTCGCAGCCTGCAACGCCCCCTCACTGTTTTCTGAAGATGAGAACCGAAACTTACCTTGTATCTCCACGGCGACATCACCTTGCACAGTGCCATTAACTTCTGTAACAAGTTTAATTCTTTCTTTGGCATATCCTGTGTCTGCGCAGAAGAGCAAGGATCAAAACCAATACAGCGGGCCGGTTTTGCATGGCCGAGAAAGAGGTATTCGCTTTCTGCACAGGCAGAAGGGGCAATCAACTCGGCTTCAGGCAGCGGGTAACTCTGTGAGTCATGATCGAAGCATAAGGACACTTTTTCGCACCAGGATCTTTCTGGAAGCCCCACACCAACTCTATCATGCGACTTTGCAGGTCAACTCCAATATCCCTCAAGTTCTGCAGCATACATACGTTTGCACCATACAATATGTACCTCACTGAACTGCGGCATTAACGGGTCTGTGCCAACTAATCTGGAAACAAAATATTGCGAAACTCCCGTTTGTTTCATCTGACTGACCGCGCCATTTGGCCACCCCGTCGCCTTTTTCTGCAAAGCCATACATCAAAGAGAGTGAGAAGAACCGGCAGATGAAGCGCGAACAATATTAACTCATCACATGCTGTCACAAAATGAAGAACGCGTGTGCGATTTCCTCACATTTTCCCATATTCGAAACTCGAAGACGACGCCGCGAAAAATGACGGTGAACCACCCTGCATATTCAAGTCGTAAGCAAAATGCTTGCAAGATTAATAAGGCCTCTTCAACAACATGACGGGGCATTGTAGGCTGACATGGTCTCCATCCTGAAAGAGATCGCTGTTTCTCCTCGGCCTACCAGTATTTGCACTCGCACAGTCGGGTATTGTTAAGGTTACATGGGTGCTAAGCAGTGCCTACAACACTTCTCATGCAAATCGGACTCCCTTTTGGCAGTCAGTAGCACATGTAGTGCTGCATGCAGCTTCACTGTACACCCTATCCCTGTATACCTGCCCTTTTGCAGACCTCACCGTGCCTGTTTTCTCGGTGCTGATGTCGTAGGTTTCTGATAAACTGCATCATCTGATCCAAATCGTACAATGCCTGCAAACCCATAAAAGGGCTCAAACATTGTCTGCCACTATTCTATCAAAGCTAACCCATGAACACCTGGAGATGCGAAGTCTTAAATGCAACACAGGCAAGCAACAGCAGTTACTTGACTCCTCGGCATCACTTTACACCCTTTAACTAGTAAACACAGCAAGCATGATTCCCCAACAGGAGTTCCATAAGAAATCCCCTGCGTCTTAGTTCTTCCCTCCTTTGTTTTTGGTTATTTGCATATGATGTATCATAAAAATACCTGCTGGTCATCGATTAGCGGGAATGGGTAAACCAATTCATCGCGTCTTGGGGCAGGCCTGTGCACAGGAACACCAAACGCATCGCAACAACCGCAGCAGCGGCTGATGCAGTGCTGCTGTTCACTTCACCTGTGCCTATAGTAATAAGCAGATGTCTCGACTGGTCCCTGGTTTAGTTCTCACTGAGGTCTCCTTGGTTCACTTCGGGATCTTCTACGCCTCTCATCTGCGTAAGGGTCCCGAAGTGAATATGGAGGTGGAGGGTCATTTGCGTAGTCTCCGTAAGGCACAGGAGGATGCTCCTGGTAAGGGGGTGGTGCTCCGGGCAGGCGAACAGGTCTACGCCCTCTATCTTCACGAGCTTCCCTGTTGGCTGGAGGTACATAAGGAGGAGGCCTGCGCTGACGTTCACGTGCAGGCCTACCTGAATCTCCAGCTTCCCCTCCATCTCCTCGTCCATGAGGCCCTTGCGGCGGCCATCCTTGTCCTCCACCTTCCACGATACCTGCCTGTCTAGGAGTCTGCCGAGATATCCCTCCAACTTCAGCTTCCCCGGCAACTCCCTGCCGATGAGGCTCTCGAAACCTCTCTCCATCCATATCTACGGGAGGACCCGTGTTTCTTTGGATCGGTCGAGACATCCCTTCTTCTCCAGCTGACATGTAACCTTCCTGCTCACTGGAGTCTCTATACCTGCCAAGTTCCCCTCCACTGCTTTGTATACGACGCTCTCGACGCCTGTCATGAGGACCCCGCCTTCGACCCCTTTGGCCATTCCATTGAGGCTGGAATGCTCCATACGGAGGTGGATCCCTGTATTCCGGAGGGGGGCGGTCCTCGCGCCGCACTATTCTAGAAGCTCTTGATAGTCCAGAAAACGGTGCGTGGAAGGGCTCATCTTGTGAACCCTGGCCTGCCGGTGTTCCAAACCCTCGTCGCACAATATTGCCCCTGCATTCTTGTGGCTGAACACAGGGAAAACACACGCCACATTCCATCAAAACAGCCACACACTGTCGAGGGAAAACAAGAACGTGACGATCGTCGGATTCAACCTTGGGTCGTGGGGCACAGCCGTCTGTGTCTGTGCATACGCCGAGCACTGGTGACCACACAGAAGTGTAGGCGTACTTGGTTTGACAGTCTACGGTATGAACCCTTTGGCAGACTTTGGCCTTCTAGGTATTGTGCGCACTTATATATGAGGAATGCCATAACGCTCATCGCAACGGCGGCTGCAAGGAGCCGCGCATTCAAGGGTTTCAGGCGCCTGCTACCCATTGGCAGCGTGTCGACGCTTGTGGGGTAAGGCTCAATTGCCTCGTCCCTGTGTAAATCAAAAACAACTTTTGCGTTCGGCATTGTGTACAACTACGATGTGGAGTTCTTCACGAGCACATGGCGGGCACGCCCGGCGTGTCCCCAATTGCAGCAAGGAATTGAAAGAACGAATACCCTTTATTTCTGCAGATGTGTTTGGCAAATACAACTTTATAAAACAAAATGTGTATAAAACAGCTTATTTCAGCATTAGATCCAGCTGTATGGGGCAGTGGGGTTTCCTTGTCTTGCGAGATCGCCTGCGGACGCACGTGCAGGGCGGGGTGTCCGATCGGCGTAAGTTTCTGCGAAAGGTAATCACGTTATCCGTGGAACTACAAAACACATACCCAAATGCACCACAGTGCATTTCAGGAACACACCTAAAACACTTGCTTGGGAGCACGTGCACGCCACGGTTATCCGCAGCATGAGGCGTTATCGGCCTCCGTTGGACAGCCCTGCGCGAAGCATGTCACTGGGGGCATTTAAACAAGTGGCGAGATGTTTTAAAAATCAAATATATAAATCATTGAATTTTTAAGGAAGGTTCTGTTAGTACAGGCTTCTAGACAAGGAGAAAAATGAGTGTGTAACATATTCTGTCTGACACGGGCAAGTCCGTCTGAAGTTGGGGCCCGATTGCCCCAAGGCCCTTACTTGGCCTCAGTAAGCAATCAGTGAAAACATATGTCTTCAAAACGTGTTTACAGTTCTGGAGCACCGAGTAACAAAAACATGGTTGGGAGTGCGTGTGGGGCCACTTTGCACCTTGCGTTTCACTGTTCCATAACCTGCCCTAAGTTTGCTACTCATCCTGAAAATGACGCAGCAACCACCAGTTCGCATTATTTAGCAACCTCCACGAAAGCACAAGCCTACAACGTTAGTGTACAGAGCTAGCCCATTCAGTACAGGAGGCTCGATTGTGCTTGCTTGTAGTGCTGCCGTGCACCAATAGTTACAGCAGGAAGTGTCGCCAATCATTTGCAAATGCCCTCTGCTACAGTTACTGGAGATCAGTTCCCTGTGTTCTTGGCACATTGAGCCTTCAGAGGGACGTCTGCTGCTTAACGGGACTTCTCTTTCAAGTACTGCGACTCCATTGCGGCTTGGGCGAGTCACTACGTCCCTCGTCACAGGCGCCGCACGGCTTGAGGGGACAGGAAGGAACAACAAACCCTACCACCACTCCAGGCCGGCCTGCTGCACAAACGTTAGCACCAGCATGCCAGGAAAGCATCCAGAAAATCGGGAGAAGTTATGGAGCGTCGGATCTAGCTCGAGTGCGAATTATGTGGCAAACTGGCCCCATAACATCACATATTTAGAGGTAGTAAACTCGCGGAAAGAAAGATGGTGATGAAGAAGCAGTCATCGAGCAGCACTGCCAGATGGGCAGGCAATCAGCCTATCAGGGACACGCCATGGCACACTCCCCATAGTCCGGCGCAGGGATAGTGACGAAAGGGATATCAGCCGCGCCTGCATGTCCGCCTTGTCTCAGCTTTGTTCACATCCAAGTTGTATCAATGTTAAGGAATTGATGGCTCTACGCCACCCAGGGTTTTAAGCGGATCTTGTATACGACGCTACGGCGAGGAGATGCAAACTGGCAGCCCATTCATTAGGGAAGTCTCTTCTGCGATGTTTCGCTGACGGCGGAAATGGCATTCTAATTGAAAAATATAGGGACGCAGAAAACATGTTTCACTCACGTATGGTTCATGTTACCATGATTCAAAGCTTCCAAGCTTACCTGGTTCGCCATGACATAACTCCGGGCATGCCGTGGTTAACAAATTGAGAGGCGCAGATGTGCCAACCTGACGATACCAAGTGTGTGATATGAAGTGTATATCCCAAGACGAGGAGAGAGTGCACCTCTCAGCTAGCCGTACAGCATTTGGAACATCCGTATTCGGGAAAAACCAGCAGGGCAGACATACTGTGGAAAATGGGGAGAAATGATTCCTCCCCCTTGCGTGAGTCGCTTGCGACGATAGCGGTTTGGTAGAATTCGACCCAGTTAAGGCATGACAAATAGCCAATATGGGCACAACCGAGAGAAGAGTTGTCAGGGATATTTAATAACAATGAGGTGCCAGTAGGTCGGCAGCCTGCTAGACGCTCAGTGCATCGAATCGAACCCGTACCTGGAGCAAGCCCAAGTTTACCCAGGCGCAGGCGATACCCACGCCTTAAAGAGGAACTGAATGGTAAAGTTGACAAACTTCCAAGAAAGGCATATTCCAACGCTCATCTCCTGAGTTTGGACACAATCCGGTGTTAGCGAAGAAAAAGCACAGCAGGCGCATGTGTTTGATGATTTCAAGCCCATCAAGGAGATCGAGGTGAAACATCTCTTCGATGTCCCACATAGACGAACACTTTAACCATTTGCAGGGTGTAACAGTATATGCAACATTTGACTTCGTTGATGTGCTTTTATCGATCCAAATACATCCCGACGATAGGGACAAGACTGCGTTTCATGGATGCACTAGCAAGGTGAACTGTGCCTTTTGGGAACGGGACTTATGGAACTGCAGCGACTGGCCAATAACGATTTCCTGTGCCCGACCGGTTAGGCTGCTCGTTTGGACCAAGAATGAGAATGCAGCCACAAGAAGCCTATTCGGCCACCTGATGTCGTCTCCAGAACTCCTGCAACCTGAGTTTGACTAGCCCTCCTTCATATCAGCTGTTTCCAGTGACACATCAGGTGGTTTATCTGATACTCGCCCAGCAAGCCAAGAATTCAAAATAGAAGCACCAAAATATCGTTCGCTAGCTATACCGTTCCGCGGAGGCAGAGCTCAAGTATTTATCAAGCGAAAATGAGCTCCAATCGGTTTGTTTATAGTAAAAACAGTATCGGCATTACTTACCCTGCAGCCAAATCCACTTGAAGTTAAAACCCCCAGGATAGAGCACTACAGTATCAACTGCAATATCTTGTTATACCCAATGACAGCTCCATTCCCTTGATAATACTTTCCAGCTGCACTTCGTACAGGAGTTTGACATAAGATGCGCAAACGTACTTTGGCATGGTCAGAACAACGGTGGAGTGAGACATCAGCTCCCTCTAGTCGCCTAGGATGCGCTCTTGAGCGGAAGAATACGTCTCTACTTGTCCGGAATGTCAGCAGCAAACGCGACGAAGCATTCGCAAACCTGGATTCTTGCAGAGCCATCGGGCTCCCGCAAACAACTCGGCAGGTACATCAATGGATTTAATAGTGGGTAGGAAGTCATGATAGCATTCGCAAGAGCGCCAACTTCATCCACTGGGATAGTTCGGTTGCAACAGGGCAAACTGCCCAAATATTTCCAGCTGATGTCTGAAACCTCCGCGGCTCCCGAAAGGCATAATCACTAAGAGGCTTCTGAGGTTGGTTAGCGCCGTCTCGAGCTAAAGAGCGTCCTGTACCCAAAACGGCTGCCGCAAACCATCTGAGGGCAGCGGGCCGAAATGAGCGTAACAACCACATGCTAGTTTTGCACAAACGTTCATCAGCGTGGGGTGATGTACAAGCTTGTTTCTCCTACGGGACGGCGTGTATGTTCACTTGTTGCAGGACATTGCCAGTATTCTCGCTAGTAGCACATATTAGCAGCCTATGCGCTTTCCAGTAAAGTAAACAACTGCATCAGGACTTTACTGGATGGTGCTATTAAAGCTGCTGCATCCGAAGCTCCCAACTGCACTAACGGGCAGAGAACCTCTTCTGCTGTGGCGACGGGAACTCTTGCAGCAGCAGTGGTAGCAGCAACATATGGAGCAAACGTGCCTGGCTTTGGTGGCAGAGTCCTACCGCTGGTCCCTCTACTGTTTCTAGAAGCCATCCTGTGTGAGGGGAAATCAAGGAAAATCCGTACTGCCACCAGAGAAGCAAACCTAGCGGGATCTGGACACATCGGCATACTGCAACAGTAGCAGCAGTGGGGCAGCAATAGCCCCTCCTGGCAAGTCTTGTTTGGCTTGTCAGATTCCACCTTAGCTCCTGGTGCTCTTAGCGCTTTTGCTGTTGTTGTTGCTGCACAAGTAGCGGAAAACGTCAATACAGCAGGAGCAAAGGCTGAAGCGCCTGCTGCACCTGGACAGTATCCTTCCTAACGTGCTCCCCCAGTTTCTGTTTATGCTGCCGCATGCTGCAAATCGCCTTGATGAGGCCGTTCCTGCTTCAGCTGGACAACCGGCCCTCAGGAGGCCTTCCAATGTTGTTCCTACTAATAGCCGTTATTGCATATCACATTCCCGAAGTTTCGATTCTTCATTCATTGCAGCCTCAGTTGTTTCGTCAATTGCGGAAAATATTTAGCAGCCGTTGCTCATATTGCTCAGCTGGTCCCTACTCTTGCCCCCCCTCGTGTTACAGAGCAGCAACCCGATACAGCGGATGTGAATGCCTCCGAGTAGCTAGCGGCTCCTCCAGAAAACTGTCTTTGGGGTACTAACATGAGCTCGAATCCTGCTGGAAACGAAGTCACCATGCACTAACGACAGGAAGAGAGGTACAAAAAGCGGTTGCGCCGTGCAAGCCTTGGTTACACTGCAATGCTTCGCTGTAATTCTCCTTGCTCGCTGCAGTCGTTCTGTTGCCCTCCATCGATACTTATCGTACGCATCTGCTTCATGAATTATGCCCGCAGCAATTTCCGTTTGTCTTTCGCCACCACCTTCAGCTTTTTCGTCCGGCTACTGTCTCTGTTGGTGACCTCGTGCTACAACTACTGCCACAGTTCCTACTTCTGCTGCTGTTTTGCAGCCAGAGCTTCTGCTTCTGTTCAGTTCAGATGACGTCGCTAATAGATTGCTTGGTCCAGCCCGTTAATGCTGCAAACATCAACGGGCATGTTTCGGACACTGCTGCATGGTGTCTCATGCAACAGGTACTGTGCGGCAGGCTGCAGCAACCGCTGCACACTTCGTCGTTCTCTGTATTTTTCCAGACGGGAACAAGGGTGCGTCCTGCAAAAGAGTGATGAGAACGCCAGTGTTTGTGCAGAGGAAATTGTTAGGGGCAGCAAAGTGG